AACATTAAAAAGAGAATAGGACAGACTAGAAGAGAAAATATTAGCATACATTGCATTTAATTGCATGGCACAGAACTTTAATTTCCATTGTGTGTGTACAGGCATATGTGTGTAAATGTAATACACATATGTAGACATATGGGTGTTCTGGCTCATGATATAAAATGTGTTTGTTACTGTAGACCACAAAGGCTTTTGAAAGCCACCGTTCCAATCCCTGCTGACTCTCTGATTCTATTACTCCTTTAGATCATAGTCTAGGAGAGTAAAAGAATTTGGCATATTTGATCCTATTCACACATCTAGACTTTTAGTTTCATGAGGAAAAATTCTTGTGTTGAAGAATAAAATTTTAAGAAAAATTTCGCAGTGCTTTTAACCCTTAGAAAGCTATGTCAATATTTGATTATTTTTTGTCATTGTCAGTATTTTCCATTCTATGCTTCAATTTGCTTCCATTCTGGTGTTTCTGAGTAACACTAACAGATTTATCTAAAATTCTTTATATCGATAATAAAGGCATCTCTATATAAAAACCTTCATATAAAATAAAATTATCATTTTCAATTATACATTTTTATAATCATCATCATCACTAAAGAATACTTATTGTATGTCAGGCAATGTTCTAAGAGTTTTTTCTTTATGTCAGGTCATTTAATCCCATCGGTGACCCCATAAGGTAAGTAGTAGTAGTTTCCCAAGTTTTCAGATGAGGCACAATGGAGGTTAAGCAACTCGTCTGAGCTCATACAGCTAGTAAGTGGAAGAAATGGAATTCAAACGGAAGTAGCATTTCACCAGAATCAGCAAACTTAACCACTTTGCTAAATTGCCTGTAAAAGTTATTCTTCTCAAAACAGCTCTTATTTCATCATGTAAAGCGAAGTACAAACCCATAAAATGGCAAGTACTGAAGAAAGCCCTTGTGTAAGAAATATACAAATTGCAACAAGTGAAATAATTCATGGCCCCTGGTTGCAGTTACATAGCTATTTGCTTTATAATTACTTATTAAATTAGA